TCTCCCAGCACTAATACTGCCAGTCCCCACCTCTCCCAGCACTAATACTGCCAGTCCCCACCTCTCCCAGCACTAATACTGCCAGTCCCCACCTCTCCCAGCACTAATACTGCCAGTCCCCACCTCTCCCAGCACTAATACTGCCAGTCCCCACCTCTCCCAGCACTAATACTGCCAGTCCCCACCTCTCCCAGCACTAATACTGCCAGTCCCCCACCTCTCCCAGCACTAATACTGCCACTCCCCACCTCTCCCAGCACTAATACTGCCAGTCCCCACCTCTCCCAGCACTAATACTGCCAGTCCCCACCTCTCCCCAGCACTAATACTGCCAGTCCCCACCTCTCCCAGCACTAATACTGCCAGTCCCCACCTCTCCCAGCACTAATACTGCCAGTCCCCACCTCTCCCAGCACTAATACTGCCAGTCCCCACCTCTCCCAGCACTAATACTGCCAGTCCCCACCTCTCCCAGCACTAATACTGCCAGTCCCCACCTCTCCCAGCACTAATACTGCCAGTCCCCACCTCTCCCAGCACTAATACTGCCAGTCCCCACCTCTCCCAGCACTAATACTGCCACTCCAGCACACTACTATATTATTCAGGTCGGCTTACCACAGCCCTCCCTCCTCCCAGAACACAGTCCTAGAAAGGAAGCTGAAGGTGTGATACACCAACACATATTACAAAGAATCACTGAGGCATCCCCCATCATAGCAATCACAGACACAAAGCTCATGGAAGTAATAACAGATGCAGTCTTCCCGTCTGGTTATCAGATCATGAGGAAAGATGGGTGGGGGCAGATGGGAACGAGGAGTTGCATTGGTCATTGAAAACCAATGGACTTTTGAGGAGATGGGAGCACTAGTCAGAGAGGTAGTGGATAACAGGAGCACTGCATACTGGGACCCAAATATAATGGTAACAGTGATGTACTGTTACGAAATGCGATATCAATAAAGTATAGAGATTTCCAGAGAATACTAGAAGGTCAACCTATTGATCCCCTTCTAGCATCAAGCCTGTTTCTGATTTTGTAACAATTTGTCAAAGTATTCTGGTGCAGTTATCCATTAAAATTAAGGTAAATTTTAATAGTGCTCTAGGATTGCAACTGATAAGATATTAAGTAAAGCACTATTAAAACCAGTCTCTCCATCTGTTCCTGGTCTGGGAAGCATCCCTCTCGTCTCTGTCTGTTTGTTCGTTACTTAGACTGTTTTTGGTAGAGCAAGACTTCATTAATGAGTCGAGACATATATCTTGTAACTCTGTGTAACTCTGTTCACAGACCATTGTATTTAGTGATTTTTAACGTTTTAATGAGGTTGTGTGTAGTACCAACACTCTAAGTCAAGCCAGGTCCCAAGCTAAAGCTTCTGACCTACTTTGTGTGGCATCTATGTACCGACGTAGTCGGTGATTCAGTTATGCTGAACTCAGATTCTGTATTAAGGGAGTTTTATGACTTTCATAGAGAATCTGCTGATAGTCACCATTTAGGGTCGTTATTTTGTCTCCTGACTCCGTGCTGCTGCTGCTTTGTACGTTATTATTGTTCAGCGAATCGTTCGTCATATTGTTCAAGCAAGCTGTTTTGATTGCATTGTCGGTCAAGAAGATAAACTATGTGAAGACGTTTAATCAGTCACTGTTTAAGTGTAAGTCGAGTCTAGTCTTTTTGAGACATGACGAACAACTTTGAGAACATACACACATTCTCACAGACACGCTTGTATATACTAGCATTTTTATAATTAATGATAACTTACCGGACTGTACTTAAGTCAAAATGATATGAAATGTACCTTCAGCACTATACTACTGTATGTACAATTTAACTTTGCACTACAAGAAAAGTGTAGGAGCTTATACCCTAAACTGTATCAAATTCATTTACTTTGATGTTATCCACCTAGACAACTTTGTTAATAAACATATCGATTATTATTTAGTTAGTTAGTATCTTATCAGTTGCAGTCCTAAAGCATTATTAAAATTTACCTTAATTTTAAAGGATTACTGGACCAGAATACTTTGACAAACTGTTACAAAAACAGAAACAGACTTGATGCTGGAGGTGGATCAAGAGGTTGAACATCTATACTTTATAGATATCATATTTTGTAACATGTACAACCTACCACCAAACAACAGGAGGCCAAGACAGGAATATAACGAGAACATCAGAATGATGGTTGACACACTAGCTGACACTGAAGGGCCCACTTCAGCAGGACAAAGTGACTCATCATCGGGGATTTAAACCATAAGGAAATTGATTGGAAGAATCTGGAGCCACATGGAGGACCAGAGACATGGAGAACCATGATACTGGAGGCAGTATTAAAACGCTTCATGTACCAACATGTTAAAGACACAACCAAAGAAAGAGGAGACTATGAATCAGCAAGGCTAGACTTCATATTCACCTTGAGCAGTTCAGATACAGAAGATATCACACACGAAAGGCCCCTAGTCGCTAGTGACCGTGTGGCCTTGATTTTCTAATACATAGTGGGCTTAACAATGAAGACTGAAGCAGGACGAGAAGGACGGGAGAAGCCAAACTTCCAAAAAGGGGAACTATACAACTATGAGACAATTCCTACGAGGTGCAGTTGGCAAGTGAACTAGAGGGAAAGACAGTAAATGAAATGATGGAACACGTATCTACAAAGTGCTGGAAGGCAACTGGTCTGACTAATGGCTCCTGGAGTTTAACCACAGCAAGTGAAAAGTTTTGAAGATTGGGGGAAGGACAAAGAAGACCGTAGACGGAGTACAGAGTAAGCGGTCAAAGGCTACAAAACTCACTCAAGAAAAAGGATCTTGGAGTAAGCATCATACTTAGCACATCGCCTGAGTCGCACATTAACCAAATAACTTCTGCAGCATACAGGCGCCTGACAAACCTGATAATAGTATTTCATCATCTAAGGAGTCATTCACGACTCTGTATACCGTCCACATCATGCCCATATAAGAGTATGCAGGTCCAGTATGGAACCCACATCTAGTCAAACACATTAAGAAATTAGAGAAAGTGAAAAGGTTTGCAACAAGACAAGTCCCGGAACTGAGGGGTATATATATATATATATATATATATATATATATATATATATATATATATATATATATATATATATATATATATATATATATATATATATATATAAACACTGATCTATGGCTGAAGGAGACTCGAACCTACGAACCTTGGCTTGGAACAAGGTACGCAGTGCTTTGCCAATCTACCCACACTGGACGAATACCTTAGAGTCCAGCTTGCGCTAGACTTTGATCCAAGGCAGCCAGCTTTCAGGGAGGAGCCTTACAAGACAAGCCTTCTCCCTGAAAGTTGGCTGCCTTGGATCAAAGTCTAGCGCAAGCTGGACTCCAAGGTATTGGTTCATTGTGGGTAGATTGGTAAAGCACTGCGTACCTTGTTCCAAGGTCCGTAGGTTCGAGTCTCCTTCAGCCAGAGATCAGTGTTTGTGTATATTTCGCTTTTTGGAGTACTGCAGAATGTCATAACTTATCGAAACTCTCAACTGAACTTGTAAAATTCCTCAAGCTTTTGAGGTGCTCGTTGGGGACTCTAAACTCAGCAAGCTTTTTTTCTCTACATTGCCACTATAAAGCACCTTGTTATTTTATTTATTATTATTAAAGATTCGCCGGTATTCTCCCGGCCCGGGGCTTTTTCAAGTGGTGGCCCGGCCTTGGCTCCCTCTCTAGGGAGTGTCTGGGACCTAAGTCTCCCATGGGAGGAGGCAAAAGTACCTCCTCATCTTTGGGACCAACTGTCCCCAGGCCTAGCTTCTCGTAGGGAGAAACTAGGTCTCTCTGGTCTGCCATCCCCGCCCCAAGGGGGATAATGGGAATGGGAGTCTTTTGAGCTGCAAGCTCTGGCTCAGGTACCTACCCTATCCTAGAAGGGCTGGGCATGGTGTCGATGATGAGGCACCTGAAGAGATATAAGGCAGCTCTCTGCTCTCTGGTGATTTCGATGAGCCTGGAAGTCAGCGCTATGAGGGCGCTCATGGCTTGCTTCTTCCACTGTCAAAGGGTAAGTTAAGTTAAGTACCTCTACTTGTACAGCTTGTGATCTTCCTTGTGATCAGCACATGACCATGTTGGTCAACACAACTGGGAGGCAGAAGTTTGTAAGGGTAGATGTACAGCAGCAGCAGTCTGCCGTTCTTCGAATCATAATAAGGGATCCCTGCTGGGTGGCAGGCGGGCGTTTCCGGGGTGCTGGTTAGTAATATCGAAGTTGCCTCTTGCTAGGTACTAGGTTGTAGTAAGGCTCTTTCTGATGATTTCGTTGACTTCATTGTGTCTAACATAAATTACTCATTTTGTTTGTATTCTGCAGGCGAAGGCAACTTCGAAAAGCCTCTCGCTAACTGAAGAAAGTTATCTTTTCGTACAGAAGTTACAGTTAATGGTCCTGTGACCTGTATCCTTACATTAAGACGCTGTACATTTTCCTAGAAGATAACTGAAACTTAAGTTACCTCATCTCTTACCTTCGTCCTCCTAACCATTCTATAATGTGGTTGTAAATGGTCTGGTGATACGAACAAACTATGAAAAAGGACATTTATGAGTGGTTCAGGACACTTATAAATGTCCAAAACTGTACACGTGTCTTTTTTCCACATTATGGAGTTTTTGTACAAACTAATGGTAACTCTTGTATAACTTGATAAAGGTCTGCATACAATATAACAATGAGTTGAGTGCCTTTTCACACACTAAATATGGATTTAGTAAATATAATAATAATTCTTCTACGCGAAACATACCGAAGGAGTTATTCCGGTTCTCTTTGACACAAGCAATTTAAAATTCACTCACCTTTCTCGCTTCAGAAATTAGCTTCGTCTGCAGCATGGGAGTGCTCAGGCTGGGAGTTAATATATTGTTTCATTCAGTTCTTTTCTTTGGTTTTATGTGCTTGTGTGTTGCCTTCTTGCCCTCAGATGTACACGGGGACTGGCGTACTCTCCCAGTTCGTCAATCTTCTCGTCAACACACCACGTGCTGCTATACTCGGTCCTCAGGAACTGCACGTGCAGGAAGGTGACACCATCACCCTCATCTGTGTCATCCAGCAGGTAGGTGACATGAATCATTATCATCATCGTCATCACCATTTGTGTCACCATCAAGACTGTGACAACTACATATTTGTAAATTTGCTATGAACTTTAATTGGCTCAATTAAATCTGAAGACTAACAGGAAATGAAGAATTTTGATGCAGGTGTTGAGAAGCAGGTGTTGGGAGAACAAATGTTGCCAGGAGAGGTTTTGTTAGGTCAGCTGGTTTAAGGACATGTGTACTATGGTCAGATGTTGTAATAACAGGTGTTCTGATGACAGATGTTGTGAGGGCAGCTTTTGTGAGAGCAGGTGTTTGGAGCAGCTGTTGTGAGGGTAAGTGTCTTTTGCACCACTCCCTGCTAACGGAGGTGTTTTATGGGCAGGTGACTTTATCACCCCCTGTGAAGGCAGGTGTTATGATGACAGGTACTGCGAGATCAGGTGTTTTAATGGAAGTTGTTGTGAGGACAGGTGCAGTTAGGAACATACTTCAGCTAATAAATGTCAAACAAAATATATCTGAATAGAAACCTTTAAAGGGGCAACGTTTTCTTGGAGACTTAATCTTTTACAACCCTGTCGAGAGAACATGGAAAGCACCAGTATACATAATTGTGAGAGTAAGTGACGAGGAGTCGTCAGAAACACTTACCACAGTCAGGATGACTGAGAAGGATGACTGAGGAGGATGTGGAACTGGGGTTCCATTGGATATTTGCACTACCTTTGGGTGATGGTGTCTGTGAAAGGAATGGAAGCTCTTTCCAAACGTTTTCGTCATTGTTTTTCTTGTTCTTGGATAACTATTCTCGCCCTGTGGTGTAAAGCCGAGTTATGATGTAGAGCACACGAGTTGTTGATGTTGATTGAGCAAGCGTATCTGTGTTTGTGTACGCTGATGTACAACTCCCAGTAGTTTCACACAAACACTTTTTTGCAACTGCAACAGGGGAACATGCAGAGATCTGTATTCTCTTCACTGGTGGCGTGAACCTCTTTGGCGATTATTCAGCTTTTTTCTTACAGACAAACTTTATTTCTTAATGCAATATACAAAATGAAGTTTTACATTTAACAGAATATTGTTAAGCACAAAGAAAGCCGCTAGCATGCGGGAGACGCTCGGACATTCTCGGGCACACTTGAGGTAGGAAAGATTACACAGCAGTTGCTGTTGAGAGAGATTATTATTCCCTGTGGTCTTCCTCTACCATCCATTAATAAGGTAGCAGTAAAATGTAAACTGCAGGAGATTTCAGGGAATATGAAACACTCGTATTAGAGGAAATCAAGGGTGCAAATATTCAGAGCCCTTAGAAGGTAACCCAGTGAACACCTTTCTTGATTCCAGTGGAGCGATGAGTTAGTAAAGTGAAGGGAGGTGTTAGTAGTGTTTTGTATATAGGATCCAGAGGTGGAATGTTGTTTTCCTCTTCTAAGGTGAAGTGAATGGAAGATTTAATTGTGTTGAGATTGTATTTGAGCCGGAAGAGATAGTCTTGGGTGCGATGGTATAATACCATCGGGATGTTTCAGCCATGACACTCTCGTGTGGATGATGTAAGTCCCCCTAGGCCTCATAAAACTCTATGATCATTCCCGTCTCCTGTCGTTAAGCTGGATAGCTAGATACAAATGTATCTCAGTACATTTGTAGTTGACTCACACCTCAATGAAGTCAACTAAATCCTTATGGGGGAGACGTGTTTATTTCATGTTGTCTGAGATCAGTCACGGAGGATGTTGATATACTGGTCCGTTGAGACGCTGGTAAATGTCATGGCCTAATTTCTAGTCATTATTTGGAAAATCAGTATTTTTTTTCCTCTTCTTTATAAAGTATTAGTATATAAGGGTATAGATTTATCATGTATCAGTTGGTGTAGAAATCATTCAAAGTTGGAATGGTAATTTTTGGTCTTTTTGAAATTTAAGTATAATGGTGTTTTATACGGAGTTCCCAAATTATTACTGCTTGTATATTATATTATTACACAGGCTTATTACATTTGTGTATAAATAAGTTCGAATGAGACATGAGACATGAGACATGCCTCTTGCTGGCTGACGTCTAGTGAAAGATGACATGTTATTACATTGTAGACTCTGTGATCATGCTCTGTTGAGTGTATAAGGAGAAGAAACTGAAAAAAAGTGATTATGAGCACATCATACATCATTTTGCATCAGTGAAAGCTAGGAAGTTGCAATTATAATTTTCATATAGTACTATAATTTATTAATTAAAAAATTAAGAGAGGCTTTTGCAAAGTCTGTGTATATTACATCTGCATTGTGTTTGTTTTCCAGTGCATCCAAGACCATAGGATGGTGATCCAGTAGTTGTGAGAAGCACGAGCGATCTGCTCTGTACCCATGTTGCCCTGAATTGTGCAGTTTTTTGAAATCCAAGTGGCTTGCAATCATGCTTCTTAGTATTCTTTCAAAGATTTTTAGGATTTGGGACATTAGAGTTATTGGTCTATATTTATTAACTAATGCTTTGCTTCCACCTTTATTAAGTGGGGCTATATCCGTTGATTTCAGTGGCTGGAATTTCGCCCATGTCTAAGCTCCTTCTCCATAGTAATTTTAGGGTATGCGAGAGGGTTTTCTTGCAGATGTTAGTGAATTCAGAGTTTCACGAGTCTAGGCCTGGAGCTGAGTGCATGGGCTTATTATCAATGGCTTTCTCAAAGTCTAGAAGAGTTAGGGTTATGTCAGAAATTTGCCATACATTGACAGGCTTTTGAGGCTCATTCGTCATCTTTTGTAGAGGAAGCGACTTTCTCTCTCCAGTTTACGTTTTCTCTTCTTCTTTCATAGTAGAATAGACCTTGAACATACTTCAGCTGCCAGGAAGTTGACCCTTTCAAGGCACTAGTTTGCATCCACGTTATTTAAGATATCTTCCCAACATGTTTCATTTAAGATATGCTTCACCTGATCCCAGTTGATGTTCCTGTTGTTGAAGTTGTATTTAAAGTTGCATTTTACTGGTCAGGATCCCTGTACATGTAAGTCTGAACTTCGATTATATTGTGATCGGAATTAATTGTTTTTGACATCATTATGTTTCTTACCAGGTCTTCATTATTTGTGAAAATAAAGTCAAGTGTATTTTCTAGTTTTGTTGGTTCTTCTCTCTGCTGACTTTGATTGTGTTTATTGCAGAGATTTAACAGTTCATGTGTGTGACTTTTCATCTGCGCTTCCTCCAGGGATTGTTTCTGCAATAACATTTTTTGCTACATTCTTCCATTTTGTATGTCTTAAGTTGAAATGACCAAACAAACGATGTTTGGGAATGGAGCTGGAAGGTTTTCCAGCAGTAATCAATTTTCAGTAGGTGTTCCTTGAACTATTGGGAAGTTGCATCTGGTGGCTTATATACAACCACTATGACTAGGTTTTGGTTCTCGATCGTTATTGCTAGAAATTCAGCTGCATCATTTGTGGTGTTCAGCATCTCTGTGCAGATGAGCTACTATTCGATATACAGGTCCCCCATCCCCCCCTCGCGCTTGTTGCCTGTTCTCTCTGTCACAGCTAAGGTTATACCCATTTATCCATATTTCGTTGTCAAAGTGATCTTTTGTGTGGGTCTCTGTGAAGGCTGCAAACATCGCATTTGACTCCTCTAGATGTTCACTGATGAAGGGTATTTTGTTGTTGGTGGATGGCCTAAGGCAATGAATATTAGCAAATATAAACGAGGTCGTATTCTGTGTTTGTTGGGAGGATTTTGTTGTTGCCATCAGTAATTATGGCTCTGGAGGGCCATGGGAGGGGCCCACTGGCTGTGCCCCCAGAACAACTGCTGTGAATATATATGTTTGTGTGTGTGATTTCCTGACGTCTCACATTACCTAGGAATAGTAAAAATAACTGGGCAACAGAAGACTTATAAATTTGAAATACGTCCTCACATAGCACCTTATTTATTGAGCGAGGGAGCGTAGTGAAGATTTAGTCAGGTCACCTGTAAAAAATTTTAGTGTGACATGTCAGGCATAGTTTAAAAACCTCACAAATTCTATTCATTATATATTAATTTAATTTATACAACCCTGAACTAATATTCATTTTGCTATCAATGGTCTTTTTAATGAACCATGATTCAATTATATTTCGCTTAATGATGGATGAGCTTCATGCAACCAGACCAACATTTACAAAATCACATGGGTGGTTAAAATCTCTCGCGTGAATTAAGATTTTTATCCAGTTCTTACGCTACATTTATGTTGCTGTAATCGTAGTTCAAGATTTTTTCAAATTTGACCATAATATACATTATTGCATTTTTTACAACGTATCTTAGAGACACTGCCATTAAAATTTTTTTTGTAGATTTATTAGTCAATTTTTTACTGATATGTGATATAGCAAACTAAAATGTTGCTGAAAATATTCAGAAAAAATAGGAAAGTTTAGCCTAGTTAAACCTTAAAAAAAATTAAATCGGAAAGTGTTTTCAGTTTACTTTTCTCGTTTATCTTCTGTTTAAAATTTTTTACATCCGATAAAACATGTTTTTAATTAAATCCAACGAAACGTGTTTAAAAAACCAGTCAAAAACAAAAAAAACATGATAAACTATACACAAAGCAAAACAAAATCGTAAAATCTACCGACCAAACACATTTGATAATCTTTAAGCAGAGTCATATATATAAAATATTTTGAAAAAAGAAAAAACGTAAAAGTAATGAAGGTAAAACCAGATAACTGACATGATTGGGCTGCTCAGAGCAAACGGTATGATAAAGCTCTAAATGAGCAAAAGTTTTATCTAAAATAGCAGGTTTTGAATATAGTAACGAGTGTATTGGCTTTTCTGGGAAAACAGAAGCACAGTATTTTAATAGTCATAAAACAAAATAATAATAATATAATAAAATAAAAAAAATAATAAAAATAATGATAATAAAATGATAAAAATAAAAAAAAATAATAAAAATAATAAAATAATAAAAATAAAAATAATAATAAAATAATAATAATAAAAA